TGGTTGCAGATCAAGGCTGCTATTTTTTTACAACCAGTTTTTGTTCTTAGACAGATTCCATTCTTTTTATAATTTTTTTTCTTAACTTAAAATGTTGACTGTACACACACACACAAACACAAGCACACATGCACACACAGATGAGTCAAAAATTATCTGCACTCCAGTTATATTAAAACACCTGTCCGCGTCCACGGCTGATGACAACAGTGCACGTGAAGTGATTCTGTGGAATAGATTAGTGACAGTGGATGATGCAGCAAATCAGTTGCAAAGCAGCCATGGCTCTGCCTATAAAATAATCCACAACAGATTTGGGTTTTGAAAAGTTTGAAAGATAGGTACTGAAAAAACTCATGGAAGAGAATAAACAGAAGTATTTGGACACCTGCAAATAAAGGAGCTCTGGTAGTGTAGTGATTACGAATCGGGCTGCGGACCGCAAGGTCAGCAGTTTGAAACTACCAGCTGCTCCGCGGGAGAAAGATGAGGCGTTCTGCTCCCGTAACAGCCTCGGAAACCCTGTTAAGGTCGCTATGAGTCAGATTAATAGCCTCGGAAACCGTGTTCAGGGTCACCATGAGTTGGAACCGACTCCACGGCACATAACAACAACAAAATAAAATTTGGACCAATACTCAAAGGAAGGTAAACGTTTCTTTTAAAAAATCATTACTAGTGGTGAGACATGAATTCATCACTATGTGCCTGAGAGTAAATGGCAGAGTATGGAATGGAAGCATCTTGAATTACCACCCAAGAAAAGTTCAAAAGTCAACCTCAGCTGGAAAATTGATGCTTACAGTTTTCTGGGATTCTCAAGGGCCAGTACTAGAATGCTATCAGGAAAAACTTGTTACAGTGAGATGCTCACTGAAGAGTTGAAGGCTAAACTTCAGATTGGATTAAACACAGAGGACTGCTATCCAAGAGCATTGTGAACTTGCATGACAATACACATCCTCACACTTCTGCCCACCCTGCTGACACTCTGCAAAAACTTCGTTTTGAGGTGTTAAGGCATCCTCCATATAGTTCTGTTCTTGCTCCATCAGACTTTCACCTGTTTGAAAGTAGCCCTTCCAGGACAAAGATTCACCTCTAATGAAGTGAAAACAGTGGTACATTTCTGGTTCGCAGCCCATCCTAAAACAGTTTTTTAATAAGGGAATATGAAATCTTTGACAGATGGACAAACTGTATTGAAAAGCAAGGAGGTTATGTCAAACAATGATATATTTGTCTTTTATAAAAGTTGATTAAAATAAATTCTACAGCTAGAGTGGGGATAATTTTTGACTCACTCTCATGTGTGTGTGTGTTTGATTCTCTGCCAACTGTTTTTGCCCCCTGCCTTCTCTTCCTTTCTTCTTCTTTTTTTTTTATATATATAAAGGGGAAAAGGGGTAGGTAGGAGTAAGGAGTGAGGGCTAGCTTTAGGACTGTGGATAGGTCTAGGCTAAGCCTAGGACTTCATGTAGTGTTAGGGTTATGGTTAGGAAAAGGGTTAGTGTTAGAAAGGGTTGGGTTAGGGTTAGGAGTAAGGTTTGGTTAGATTTTAGAGTCACAGTCAGGTTTATTTTTATTTATTTTTCTTGAAATCTACTTGACTTCCTCTTCATTTGGACATTCTGTAACTACATTATTCCCTCTTTTTACTTTTTGGGTTTATTGTTGTTTTTATTGTAACTGTATTTCTGGTTCAATATTGTCAGTCTGTTTTCTTTGCATACGTCCATACCTGGGTTCAGTCTAGGTGATAATGTCAAGTGTTTTAGTCTCAGGTTGTTTGCTGATATTGGCTCTTTGTCCAAAGAACCCCCTTTAGTATTTTTAGTTAGGTTGGTCCGGTTTTTACAAATTCTTTTAATTTCTGCTTATCTGAAAAGAACCCAATTTCATCATCATATTTGATTGGCAATATTGCTGGATTTAGGATTCTTGGTTGACATTTTTTTTCCCTTAAGTTTTATATATGTCATCCCATAGTCTTCTTACCTGCATGATTTCTGCTAAGAAATCAATTTAGTTCTCCTTTGTAGGTAACTTTGCTTTTTTTCTTGAGCTGCTCTCAGGGTTCTTTCCTTGTCTTGGGTTTTGAAAAGTTTGATTATAATATGTCTTGGTGCTTTTCTATTGGGGTCTGTCCTATTTGGAGTTCGTTCAACTTCTTGAATAGCTATCTTCTCATCTTTCATGATGTTAGAGAAGTTTTCTTCCAACAACTCGTAGACAATATTTGCTATGTTTGTTTGTTTGTTTTTTTGTCTTTTTCCTGTTCTGGAATTCTAATCACATGTAAGTTATTTCTGTTGATAATGTCCCATACAAAAAAATTCTCAATATTCATCTACTAAAGGAACAATCAGAAGAAAGAAAAAAATCTGAAGCATTTTATTCTTTCTTCTGATTGTTCCTTTAGCAGATGAATATTGAGAATTTTTTCTTCAAGGTCAATAATTCGGCATTCTATTGCTTCAATTCAACTTCTTTGCCCTTTCTGTGTATTATCTATTTCTGAACTCTTAGTATTAATCTTCTGGCTTTCTGATTGCTATTTTTGTATGGTTTCCATGTTTTCATTCATTTTGTCAACTTGTTTCCTTAATTCTTCTAAAGTTTTGTCCATATTTTCTTTGTTTTGATCTACAGTTTTCTTGATCATTCTTTCAAGCCTTTGAAGTTGCCTTATTAGCATTCTTTTAAATTCCTTATCAGGGAGTTCTGATATCATGTGTGGTGTTATGTTTTCTGACTCTGTATTTTGGTCACTTGTTTGAGTCACTCTGTCTTGTTTCTTCATGTAAGCTGAAATTGTGTTTTCCTTCCAGATACTGTGGTATTGTATTTATACTTGACTGATGACTGTATATTGTTGTGTTCTCAGGCACTCACCCTGTTTCGTGGTAGACGTGGTAGAGACTGAAAGTTCAAACACAGTTAGTTCTTTGTTCTCTGTGTAGGGCAGTTCTGGAGGTAGGCTCACTTGTCTCCAGAAAAAGGGGCACCATTCCATGCCTGCTCACAGTTTGCTGGTTTTACTTCTTTCTGGCTGCTCCTAACCAATTACCTTTTACAATTGGTACTCAGCCCACCACTGTCCTATCTCCTGATGTTCAGGGTTCCAGGATCACCACCTGTATCTATTTCATTCAGTCTCCTATGCCTTTGTTGCAGAGGGTCAGCTCAGTGCATCTGACTACTCTGCCATCTTGCCATGGGTCCCAGATTCCCATTATCTTTTAATTCCAGTTTTTCAAGAACATTTTGAAGCCCCCTCAAATAGAGCATGGTTCTTATATTCTATATTTATTTCCTCAATGATCTGTAGGAAAAACATACATCTGTGTCTCTGAGCTAAGGATTTTGTTTTGTGTTTTTGAACAGTATACCAAGTATAATGAAGATTACAGACTACGTTTGTTTCATTTAGAACCAACCTCTGTGCTCCTTTTTAAAGGATATCTTCATCAAATAAGCAATTAGATCTTTGCCATGGTTCCATTTTGTACAACTAGGGAATAGGCCTTGTAATCCTTTTGTACATTTTAACAGACATTTTTAAGATAATGTAAACATACAGAATGCAAATATACAGGTAATATAATATACAGAAAGATATCAGAAGGGCATAATATATACTAAAAAGACATGGTAACAAAAGAAAAAAGACAAATACTACCAAAATGATTTAAAGCACATTTTTTATTATAGATAGGTAAGTGTGGTTTGCTATGGCTAAAGGTTTGTTTAAATGGATGAAGAAGCTTTTCTATGTACCAAGAGATATACTATTTATTTTTTAATACTGAACTAATATTTGTCTGACAACAAAGGAAAACTGAACCGAGCCTTTTCTAGATATCAAAAGACTTTTTTTATCCCTCAAATGTTGCTTTAAAGATTGGTAGGATGAATAATATTTTAGGTCCCAATGTATTAAATATAAGAACAGCAAAAGAAAATCAATGAATATTACAAACATATTCTACTGAGCAGAAACAAAAGGTTTTTTATAATTTAACACAGCAGCAATTTAAAAAGTTTGCTGAATTAAAACTTTACAATATATATATATACAATGTATCATTCCAGATGATCATCATGGATTTAAAAAATAACACATTATAGTCCTCAAATTCTACCCCAAACCTACTACTGGATGTAGCTGGCCTATAATATTTTTTACAACAATTTAAAAAATAAAACAAAAACAAAAGAAATCTCCAACTTCTCTTGTGTATAATAAGCTCAGAATACAATGTGCTGGCTTTGATTCCATATCCACAAAGAGAGTTTTAAAACAGAACAAGTTCTTCACATAAATAATGTTTTACTTGTTATTATTAAGTATGTGACCAAACAAATTAAAATAAGTACTAACAACCAAAACATATCTTGATGTAATCAGTACATACACTCTTAAAGAATGACAAAGACGAAAAAAGAAATAAAATAGTCTACAAAAGCCACAAGCACCTTGTTTTAGAAAGAGTACCAAGCAACACAGAAAGGCAACACATAAGAGGTAGTGTACCATCGGCTAAGATGTATATGCCCATTGGGGACTTGAATACAGCTTAGTTATTTGGGAAGATAAAACATATAAGACTGTGGCTTATAATTTTTAGACAGAAGCATTACACATTTGGGAGCATTAGCCAGTATTGCCCCATAGTGCTCTGCGTCTCCAGCTGTCTAATGGGTACTTTGCTATCAGACAGTCAAAACATATAGGCTACCCTGAAGAATTCCATGTTCATAAATTTTCAGTTCTAGGGAATTCTCTAAGAAAGCTCAGATCAATATAAATTTTAAAAGAATTAAATAGTTTATCAATCATAGTCTTTTAAAAAATGCCTTTTTCTCCTTCTTAGGAGGAAGTCTTTTCTTCCTGAGATTATTTAAGATTTAGCCAATGCTTTATTCCATATATTACATTACCGTCCTGTCTGTTTTTCCCTCTGCAGAAATAATCTGGCCAACATGAATTCTGAACTTTAGAGGAAGCATACAGAACTGCTTTCAATGTAGTACTTCTGTCCTGTTTTGAGATGAGTAAATTTTTGTATTTCAATCACTGGAAGTTGACTAGGATCCTGGGAGTGAAAAAGAAATTTTGTCTTATGCCAGCTGCCATCTTGAATCTGTAAAATAAGAACAAGATGTTTTTATATATAACTGTTTCATTACTAGTCATTTTCATCAGACAATACTCTTTATAGACAATGTAGATTGATGTTAAGGATTAGAGACTATGAACAGAAAATGCCCATGTATAGTATAGTGGGATATCATTGCTGACGTCAGATTGATCTTGGCTGAAAGCAGAGAATACCAGAAAGATGTTTACCTGTGCTTCATTGACTATTCAAGGGCTTTCAATTGTGTGGATCATGACAAGTTATGGACAACATTGTGATGTCTGAGTATTCCGGGACACTTAATTGTGTTTATGAGGAACCTGTACATAGACCGAGAGGCAGCTGTTTGAACAGAACAAGGGAACACTGAATGGTTTAAAATTAGGAAAGGTGTGTGACAGGGTTGTATTCTTTCACCATACTTATTCAAGCTGTATGCTGAGCAAACAAGCTGAGAAACTATATTATATGAAGAAAAACATAGCATCAGGATTGGAGTAAGATTCATTAACAACCTGCCAGATGCCGATGGTACAACCTTTTTTGTTGAAAGTGAAGAGGACTTAAAATACTTAGTGATGAAGATGAAAGACCACAGCCTTCAGTATGGGCTTCATCTCAATATTAAGAAAACAAAAATCCTCACCACTGGATCAATAAACATCCATATAAATGGAGAAAAGATTGAACTTGTTAAAGACTTCATTTTGCTTGGATGAACCATCAACACTCAAGGAAGCAGCAGTCAAGAAAATTGCATTAGGCAAATCTGTTACACAAGACCTCTTTAAACTGTTTAAGAGCAAAGATGTTAGTGTGAGGACTAAGGTGTGACTGACCCAAGCCATGGTATTTTCAATAACCTCATAGACATGTGAAAGTTGGACAGT